TTCTAAAGACTTGAAAATGCCAAAGCACACAAAACAAGTTACAGTATACAATAATAGAAGATTTGTAGATTAGTTCTTAAAAGAAACACGCTCATTTGGAGAAATGTGTGAAATAACCATAGGTCTGAATACATTCCTGGGCAGTATTTGGAAAACTGGTTCAATGAAAAACACAGATACATTGATAAGAGACCGGGAAACGCCCTACACATTGAATAGTGATGCTAAATGGTGCCTTTCTGTGAAAATCATTTGAAAATTAGACGAGTTGACTGTAAAGAAATACGTTTATAAAATGTCAAATGAAAAAATTATGAAAAATTTCAAATAAATCTTTCCTAAATGGGCTTCTTATTCCCACCCTCTAACGGATTCAAGGATTCAATCCCTTTATAAGGAAAAGAAATGTGAGCCACTTTCCATCTTGTAAGTTTCAGTTGAACTGAAAGACTATTGTTCCAAAAGCAAAGATTAATGAATAAATGTGCATCATATCCTGGAAAAAACAAAGTGACTGTGGCTTATTATGCAAGAAACACCTCATAAGTACATCAGGAAAATGTTCAACAGTGTGCTCACTCTAAAGATGAAAGGGTGTGGACTATTTAGTCATCTGATAAAATAAATGAGTCATTGATGCAAAATCCAGTGCTAAGTTGCAATGTGCTTATGTCTACAGTAAGAAAAAGAAAAGAGCCCAGTGACTGTTATTATGTATTGGTTTTTACTGTTCGTCTCTATCTGCCTTTGGGGAAATGTTTTCTAATTGCTCTTCCTTTTTTTTCCACAGCATGAATATATAATACTATTGTGGACAGTCATTTTGTTGGGGGCAAAAGTCTGTGTACGCTTGCTAAATCGATTTAAAAAAAAACTAAAGAAAACTACATGTCTGACAGGGTATCACACTGTGATGAGGACTATTTCCTAAACCTAACCAACAACGTCCCAGCCCCAAACTCCATCAAATGATAACTTATAAGGGTTTTAAGAAAAACTAATAAACTAACTTTGAGCAACACTTTAGTTAATATATGTTTTTTCCATATTGCTAAGTTAAACCACAAACATGAAAGGAAGGATTTATGTTTGAAAATTACATTTGAATTTGGGAGACTGTGTACGTTTGGGACATGGGCAGGTGTTATAGAAGTCAGGAGTTTATTCTGCTCCATTTCACATGTGTTGTCATGCATGGAAACAGATGCATGCAGATTTTATTGAGCAATCACATATTTTATGGTAAGAAATGAATACTTTTTCCGATACCAAACTTTGTTTAGTACTTATACTAAAGTAACATAAGATTAATTTGTAGATGTAGATATCATTTGTAGGTTACAAATATGGGTATCTTTAAATTAAGAAAGTTGGACTCAGGACAGCAGTTTGGACTGGCAACCTAAAACTGTAAGTCACCACACTGGTTCAAGAGAAACTTGACCAAAACTACAAGTCGGAAACAGCAGCTACCCCTCTTAACAGTTGAGACCTTTTGGCAGATTCTGGTGTTGTCTCTGGCAAACGGGGTGTGTATATTTTGTCTAGCTCACCATTCACATTACTTTTACACTCCTCTTTGAAGGCCTTTGGTCGTAGCACAAGAACTTCAGGGGTGTAAATCCTGTGTGTGGGAGGCTAGTGAACTGCATTATTAAATAAATTTAAATCTGCATATTTAATATAGATATAAATGCATGTGTTTCAGACTTTAAATCTAAGCAGTAAGATTCCAATGAAGATATGGATGCACAGGGATAATATCATGCCCCTTAGCAATCTACCTATGTAATTCAAATGATTATAAACCAATCACAACACAGTTCAGTAAAATTCTTTGTAATTCACTTTTAACCTTACAAGGGTTAAGGAAGTACATGGAATTTGTGATTGAGACAAAAAAAAAGCATTTGTGTTCTAATACAGTTAGAAATAGTTACGAGAATTCAGTTTCATGAGGGTCACCAAAAAGGCTTTATGGACAGCCGAGATGATTCCTTTTGGATTTGTTTGAGCTCTTGGTGTTATGGTTCTAAGGTTTGGACTGCTGAGAATGTTTAAACTGAACAAACAATGAGCAACTGCGACTGTGGGAACAACTGAGATTCCATCCAGGGAGAATAGCATGTGTTCAATGAAAATATTTAATAATTCAGCCCAATCAAAATACCAAAAAACATTGAAAAACAGAGTTATTCATCAAGCTGATTTATAACTTGAGCAAAAGTATATGGGGGAGCCAGCTGAGTCTGTAAACTGTGAGGAAGGTACTCCAATATCTGTCATCAGCTGCCACTGTAGTGACTTCTTGTTTATTACTTTTACAGAAAATTCCCTACTCCATGCTTTCTGACTTGTTGCTAAATGTACAGTTTCTGATCTATATAAACACTTACACATTTTACACATATGAAAGCACCAAGGCAGCATTGCTAACTAACACAGTCTGCAATCAGAGTATATCATGAATGAAATGGATCATTTCTATCAGTCAGTTTGGGGAGAAATTCACACAGTTCCTTCCAAAGACAATTTCTACTGAAGCCGATAAAACTTGGTGGTGTATATTCTCGGTCATCCAGGTCATGTCAATCCTAAAAGCTTGAATAAAGGCAACTGGACCTATTCTTGGATCTGGAAGATAGCAGATTTTCACCTGCAGATTACCTAACCCTGTCTGAAACCTTGAGTGTTGCCAAAAAAAGGATAACTTTACATGTGTCCAAAAGTTGTTGCTATGTATATAGTTGATTTTTTATGACCAGATTTCCAAGCATTGCATTTGTTTCCCTCTGGTTGTTGTTTCTTGCACTATCTGAAGTCATATCAATATCTCTCCAAGATTAGTTATCTGAAATAGTAAAAGAAAAGCAGGTGCATCACAATAATAGAAATGATGACTGATTAGGAAAAAGGAACGCCTGGCTTAAACTCTACACAACAGAAATCTTCAAAAAAGATAGAAGAACAAGCTTGAACACACCCTGGAACTGCACTGACGTGCATTAACCCAGTCGATTTTGGGCTTGGTGTGTGTGTGTGTGTGAATACTGACCAACGATTGGTTAGATTAACTGAAACCTGCTGTCATGATGATGAGTTGGAGAACCCAAGCACAGGCTGCATATAAAGTAGAAGGAACCTAAACTGATTTCAAAATGAGAAAACACAGTTGAACCAGAATGTTGTGAAAAACTGAACCATCCAAACCAAAACCTGAAGACGCAGGACGGTTTGGAAAGCCAGAGACAAAAGGACATGAATGAAAGCCACTCCTCCATGTTTCACTGAAAAAATGCTTTTTTTTTTAAACACACCGTTCTTCAGCAGAAAAGAAAATGAAGAGTCTGCTGGGAAGATTTAGAGGGCAGGCACAGAAACAAAATTCAATACTTCAAACCGGTTCACACACAGCCAGTCTGGAATAATTCACCATTTACAATTTCAAGTTATTTTGTCCTTCTTTATCTATAGTATCATTTAAATCATGTTCAAGAGATTGTCATGGACAATATATTGTTTTATTCAGGAAATTTTGTAATTTGAGATCATGAATCTAAATGAATAAATATGTTCTTCATTCCACCCTCAGTTTTTGTCGTCATGTAATCAAAGTCAACTATCAGAATCCACAATGCATTTGACCAGTGACGAAAACTCACCTATCATTAATAACTGATGTGTGTTTTGAGCTGTGGGTTAATGCCCTTCCGTGCGCTAAAGGTTGGCCTTTGGCATTGGGTAAACTCTGTGAGCAGGTGATTAATGCCCTTCAACAACACCCTGCTCGCTAAGCAACATATTCACCATTCCAGTTTCCAAGTTCAATGCCTTAATTCACTTAAATGCAATTTGCTGGGGCCTGGAAATCGACTATTCATTCAGCGGACTCACATCAAACCACTAAAACAAGCACATCCCCAAAGGTTTAGCCCCAATTCTCACAACCAGCACCTCTTTTCTGGGTGAATTCACTAGGACAGGCCCAGCACTTTCTCCTGTGTTGGGAGCTGGGTGGAGCCCCAGAAGGTGTAAATCCATAGCGGACATAACCTATCCTACCTTCTGGCTCTCCCCACTGATCTCTGCTGCTGAGGCTCAGAGGACTTAATGATGTTTCAGAGGTCATGTCAGGTCACCATCTTCTGGTGGAGAAAGAACCTGAGCGGTCAGACTCAGATTTTAGCTGTTTTTCTGCATCTGGTGATGACTGTAGCTGTTGGACGTAAATGAGGACAAGGGCCTTATAGCATAGTTGGAGTAAGTTGGACAGTTTAGTGTTCTTTGCTTTATTTTTGTAACAGCAGGATCAGAGACTCAGATAAAATAAACAAACTGATAAAAAAGGCTGACTCTTACTGCCTTAAGAGGGATGCTGTTCAAAGATGTGAAGGCTACTATACACCAATTTCTGTTTTCTGAAATAAGTGTGCAAAATGGTTCTTTTTGCAAATGATAATCTATGAAAAACTGTTTTAATTCTTATGTTCCTCTTTATTGGGATTGTGTATTATTCATTTATTATCCAGAACACTTATTCCTTGTAGGGTCACAGGGGCTTGGAACCTATCGAAGCTAGTGGAGCTAACTGCCACACCCCTGTGCCACCCAGATTATAGATCATAAAGAATTGAATTGTATATGTTGACACACCACCTAAGAGGCAGTGTAATGCCATGTGTTGCTTCAGAAGCCTTATGGACATGCTGGTCTCTTAATTAACTTCTAACTCCCAATGCACTGATGATAAACCTTCTTCTACATGTGTTAATTTATTAATCATCTTAAACTGGCATGCACGCATAAACCTAGTTTAAACATCTCACCTTTAATGTAAAAGCTCAGATATTTATCTAGAGACCTGGGTGACGTTCAGAGCAGTGATGGTTACATGTTTGCAGGGTAAACAAAAACCTTCAGCTCCACCTCAACTGAAACAATATAAAAGGACTCTTCCTCCACCTGCACCTTCTGAAAGTGAAGTCGTCCATAGGACCAACATGGGCGCCCAAGGACTCCAAGTAGCATCGTGGGTCATCCATCTGATGCTGCTGATTGGCTCACAGGCTAAGACTGGTAAACCTTCATCTCAAAACCTTTTTTAAGTTTTACACACATAGGGTGTTTATAGGTTAATTGCAAATGATTTAATAGGGGACCTGGTGTTTTTTTTACAAAGTTTTTGCACATAGATATAATTGAAATTTTGATATTTTACATGATTTTTTAATACTACTGTTGAATAAAAAGTATTTGGAAACTTTGCAAAACTAAAGCTGATGTTATCTGCTGCATATATTTAAAACTGTATAAGGTTGTTTTAGGTGAATAAAGTTAAGACAAAGTTTAGGATAAAAAAGAGCTGCTCTGTAGCCATTCAAATGAGTAAAAAGAACATTTCACAATTAAAATGTTTTATGTTTTATACATTGCTGAAATAACTATTAAAGGTGGTCCACTAACACAGTTCTGTTAAAAGACTTTGGGCTACTTTGTTTTTATTTCAAGGTTTAAATTATTCTTATCTAGATTTTAAAAAAAGAAATTGCTTCATATCTCATCTGAATGCTTAAATGCATGTTTTCAGGACATCTGTGATAAAAAAATAATTCAACATTCAACCCTTTCCCATGTAATGTCTCCTTATGTTTTTTTCTTCATGTTTGACACATTTGTTAAGGCTTCTGTGAGGTGACTGATAGTGTGTACTTCTATTTCCAAAATTAGCATAATGTTTAAAAGAAAATCCACGTTTTGAGGATTTTTATTTTTACTGTATGAAAGTGGATTGAATATACAGCTTATTTAAAAAAAAACATTTTTCATTGGTCTTTTTATGAGAAATATTTAATTGATTTTGTATCTGAATTTTGATATTCATCCATTTATGCTTTTAAATGGTCTACATCAAACAACATGATTCTTGATCTAATTTGCATGTAACAAAGTTCATATTGTGTGTCACTGGAAGCCCAAATATCCACAAATGGTAATTATTTATCATGAATTTGAACTTTTTGCAAAGTTGCATTATCAAATTACATTATGTTTTACTTCAGGTTTAATATTCTTTACAAACATTTTCTTTTCCATTCCTTATAGGGAACCTGTATCCAACAGAAATGGAGACAAAATAAGTTAACTGACATTGTTGAAGTAAAGCATAAGTTTGTCCCTAACTTAGACAAACAAAGGATTAGATAAGTGTATTTATATAATTCTCTCTATTCTTTTCTACTATGTGAAAAAAGATTTCAAGGAAAATCAATGACAAATTGATGATGAATTATGTAATGTTTCTGGGCAGTTACTATTGTCCCAACTCTGAACACAGTAAACTGGAATCCACACTTACTAAATGTAATTATTAAAGACAGAAATGGGTATAGAAAATCTGATCCAGATCATATTTTTAAGGTTTTTTGGGAATATTATAACCTTTTATACAGCAATGAAGAATCCCTTCATTGAGGAGACCCAGGACCTGAATTATAGATCTATGTCTAAATGTACTCTACCTCTCCTAACAGGCAGGAACAAAAATATCGACTAAATGAACCAGTTGCAAATAAATGGCCTTTCGCATGAATGTTAATAGGACTTTAATCAGAACTTATGCATCCTTTTCTGTAAATGCCAAATTAATAATCTAATAAAGACTGTTTACCTAGATGAATTACAGAGGCCAGTCTTAACTTTATACTCCAAGTTGAAAAACAGCTGATAATGGTCTCTATTGACCAGTTAGTATCAGAAATGTTCGATTATCAACCCTGATCACAGCCTAGCCAGAGATTTGTGTGGACACATTTTTTTTATTGTATGTTGTCTTTCTTCATGTCAAAAAATGTGATAAAATGTTATTTAAGGAAAAAAATAATTCCAGTAATCAGTGAAATAGTTTTGATCTTAAAAAAAAGTTAATGTCAGTCAAAACAGAAGGTTTTCATGTGTTTCTTCTTCTATTTGTTTTGCAGCTGATGCATCGCATCTTGGCCGTGTGTGCACGACTTGGGGCAACTATCACTTTAAGACCTTTGACGGAGACTTCTTCCAGCTGCCTTCAACCTGTAATCACGTTCTGGTCTCAGATTGTAAAAGCAGCTATGAAAACTTTATCATCCACATGAGGAGGAGCGTTGTCAACAATATCCCCACCATCAGTGCCGTCACCATGATGCTGGAAGGGTCTGTGGTGGAGCTCTCCAACAAATCTGTGACTGTTGACGGAAAGACGTGAGTCCGGTTCAAACCGCTCATCTTTATCTGCACGTTCTGATAAAACACACACAAGGTTCTAAGGTTTTTAACAGGATGTGTTGGACACGTTGGGAATTTAGCTTAACCAAAGTTAACTTAAATTTACAATAAGGTTAACATTCTGAGAGTTTTCACAACATTGTCTGAAGTGTTCAGCCACATCCCAGCATCTGCATCAGGTTGAATGGTTTCACCAGTCATGGAATTATGGAGAAAAAAAGTATTTACTCCCCAAAATAAAGGGATGTGAGAAAGAAAATCTCACATGATTCAATATGAGATTAACAGCAACACAACATATTAGATGTGTCACTATTTATAACTTGAATTTTGCTCAGAGTGCTGCTCTGGATCATTCAGGTGTGTGTGTTAACACAATGCCAAGGAGGAAAACCATCCTTAGTGATCTTAAAGAAACAATTGTTGGTGTCCATCAGAGAGAGAGAAAGATTCATCACAAGTGGAAAACATTGAGGATAGTTGTGTTAAAACTAAACAGAAAAAAAAAATATGTATATAGAGTTTTGGAATTCTACCTTGAACTCTGGAGAAGCTTTCAAGTGTCTGAGATGAAGATCATGCCTCATGTTTCAGCTTCTTTGGATGACTTTCAGTGATATTGTAACTGAAGCTGTCAGTATCTGAAAACACAAGTATTGTTTTAGGTCTGTGTGTGAGCATGTGTGTTGGCTGCTGCTTTAGGTTTTATTTTCATACCATTTCTGTTCTCCACAGGATGTCTCTGCCACTTGTCGCATTTGGAGTGACCATCAAAAGGACTACGTCAAGCATATTTGTGGAAGCTCAGCTTGGACTCAAGGCTATCTGGAACCTGGATGACTCCTTGGATGTATGACAAACACACATGCATACACCTGAGGATAAGAGTCTCAGCACATATAGCAGGACACTTCAGGCCATCGACATCTGCTTTACTTTCATTTAAATAGCCTACCAGAGCTGACAAAAATCATGTGTATTGTGTATATCCCTGGACTATGGGAGGGAGTTTAGCTCCATGAAGTATAATGCAAACGTATTTCATACTTTAATACCAGCTAATTTTATTGTCACACAGAGTGCTGACACATTTGTTATGAAGAGCAGGAATTCCCCTGTTCTTGTAGAGCTTGATGGGTAATTCCACCATCATGGAAAGTCACATGAAAAGAGTCTGGATTGTCTTAAGTGTGGTGCAGGTGACATTCTATTGATGACTAGAGTGGTGACATAAGCCTTTGCAAGAGTGTTCAAGTGGATTGAGCTCTTTGTTGGCTAACACAGAGGTTTTTATGATCGAATAGACTGTGATGCAAAATTTCCAGATGGTATGGCAAAAAGCTTTGGGTGATAACGTGCTGTCTAACGACCTTACCTCTTACGAATGAGTGTTTGTGGTGTCTTCACAGATTGAAATTGACGCCAAATATCAGAACCAGACTTGTGGACTCTGTGGGAATTTCGATGGTATTTCCAATGATTTCATAAAAGATGGTGAGACCTTCTTTAAAGCTTTTGTTTCCCATAGTAATGACTACAAATTTCCAAAAATGATCATGGAGGATAACCCAGGATGTTTTTGGAAACAGTCGTTATTAGAATTATCATTATAATTTAAAGAGGTTCCTCTCTTTAAACCACAGTGTAAAGGTAACTGGGCTCCACATAAATATTTTTTTTGACCAATGCAGGTCATATTGGGTGATAAGCAATATTGAAGTCAAGAGGCCATCTGCATAGCCTTAGGAAAACCTCATATCATAACATTTTGAAATACAAAGAGCCAGAGGGAAAGCTCCAACATAAATGCCTTCACATTTTTCAACCACCCTGCCTCATATTCTCCTTTTTGAGAATCAAATCTAATCGGTTACCTTTGTGTATGATACATAAGACATTCTTCTTACACTGCTCTCCCATTCCAACCAATCCAAACCTCTTACCATGCTCCTGAATATGAAGTTGTTGTAGATTTCTGGAGTTTGTTGCAAACCAGAGAACAAACCAACAAAAATAGCTCTGAGTGCATTTTTCCCATGTACACAGAAGCAAGGAAAACAAGCTGTTGACCAAACAAAAGGCTAAATTAAAGCATCCTTAGAGTAGGATACTGATCACAAGTTTCCTAGTGATGTATCTGTCAATGTAAAAGTTTAGACTAAGACATGCTGTATGAGTGTGTAAGTACTGGTGGAGCCTTTTGGTGCTTTGAGAGGTCAGCTTAACTAGAAAATGGCATTAGAAGTACAGTCCAATAATCTTTCATAGTCCCTGTAACCTGACTTTCTGTGCTGCACTGTAGGGGCTCTGCTGTCCGTGGCAGACTTCGGTGAGACCAACAAGGTGAACGGGCCCACAGAGAGCTGCGAGGAGCCTGAACTCAGCCCGGTTCAGAGCTGTGGTGATAAGGTACTTCCTCGTTCCTCAGCATGCTTTGAAAACATTAGAATGTTTCATGAATTTACAAGTGTTAACGTGAGGTGTGTTGTTTCTTATCTACGGCTAAATGAGCTCCAAACATTAAAGCAATGCTCCACAACTCACAGAAAATGAATCCAATTCAGTGCCATACAATCAGAACCCAACAAAATCCAACTAATAAGGCTAATTGATTCTGGAACAATTAAATAATTGTACATGTAGATTAAAGAGAGGATAGGTGTATCATAGGAGCCCCCCCAGCACAAAGAGTTTGAAGCATTTGAAAGTAGCCCCCCTGGCTGTTTCCTGTTCCCAAACCGGCTGGCAGCATACCAAACTTATTGAATTTCGACATGTAAATGAGTATGTAATCTTGACTGGACACAGTTAGGGTTTAGGTAAGGCTATACACAGCTAAAGCAATTAAAACATCGTTCAGTACAGGAGGCCCCACAGTGGTCTGCAGTTTGTTTTTCCCACCATCTTAGATATGATGAATTATTGGCATTCCTTCTTCCAGAATCTCTGTGACCAGACCTTCTCCAGTGCTTCATTGAGCAGCTGCCAGAACCTTCTTGACGTGGAGGCCTTCAGTAAAGCCTGCATGGCTGACACGTGCGACTCAAAGGACAGCACAGATTTAGACCTCTGCAAAACCCTGTCAGAATTCTCCCGGCAGTGCGTTCATGCTGGTGGCCGACCCCAACAATGGAGGAATGAAACCTTTTGCTGTAAGCAAGAGATCCCGCTGCTTTGCTCAACATTCGAACATTCTAGCTTTGAATCATTGCAGTTCTGGTTGCTTCCATTTCTTGTAAACAGAAATTGAAACTTGCAAACTGCACCAATTGTTTCCACAGATAAGAAATGCCCATACAACATGGAGTTCCTGGAGTGTAGCAGCTCATGTCCTGACAGCTGCTCCAACCCTCAGGCCAGTCAGACGTGTGATAGCCACTGCCATGATGGCTGCAGCTGCCCTGCCGGTACCAACACAACTTTGGACTGTAGTACAACGTGCAATAGTGCTATTTATTTGTCTGATATATGTTCACGATCATGACTTAATCTCTCTTCTCAAGGAATGGTCTTTGATGACATTGGAAAAACGGGGTGTGTTGCTGTCACTCAGTGTCCATGTCTGCACAACGACAAAATCTACCAGTCCGGAGAGGCCTACAATTTGGGCTGTCGATCATGGTCAGTAAGATTTTGGGCAGATTTATTATAGTTAAATTATTAAAATTAATACAACCACCTTTATAATCTTGAAGAATCCTGATTTCACTAAATGTCACTACAGAATGATTATAAAACCTGAGTGCATTTTGATCATGATGTCGAAAGATGAATAGGAAATGTTCAATTCTGGGCATGTAGGTAAAGAACAAGGTTTAAATGTTCATCTGTGTTGAGGGTAGAATTGGAATGAGGTGACCCCTTTAAAATTTAGTAATGTCATTTTCAGATCATATTTTTTGTAACTTTTGGTTCTTTCCCCCCCATATTTAGTTTCCAGTTATGTCAGTCTGTCTGTCCACTGTCCCTGATCTGTGACTGTAAATAATCCAATGAAGCATGGCAAAATCATTTCCATAGAAAGGTCTAATATATCAGGTTTAACCAGAGGGCATCATTATTCTTATTTACCGTAAAAGCGAAGGAACTGATCACATGAAATTCTGTGTGCCTTTATGACAGTGTTTGTGAGAGTGGTCACTGGAAGTGTTCAGAGGAAAACTGTCCAGGAACCTGCTCTGTGGAGGGAGGAGCTCACATCAACACCTTTGATGGAAAAGTCTACACCTTCCATGGGGACTGCTCTTATGTTCTGGCTAAGGTATAAATGAACAGCTCCCATTACGCACACACTGACCAAAATGCAGACTACGAAACCATAACTTTGCATTATGGAAGTGTTTGGCTATGCTACACGATGGAGCTATTAGAAATGAATGAATGAAAGAAGATATTTAAACGTATCATAAATCAGATGAGGATTTCTAAATTTGACGTGTTCTAATATGTTTTGCAGCAGAGTAATGGATCCTCATACACTGTGCTGGTGGATCTGGTCAAATGTGGTCTGACTGACAGCAGGACATGTCTCAGAGCGGTCACTCTGGCCCTGGACAACAATTCTGTGGTAATCCTTAGACACAAACACCCTTTTCTGTCATTTCAGATTGATTAATTTCAGTTCCACACTGTAAGGTCTTATTTGGCGAAATGTGACATTTGACCCATTTTCCTATGGTAAAAGTGATTTTATTAAATTAGATCAAATCAAATCACCTGATTTGAGTAATATGAAATGCCAACTTTAGAAAAACCTGATGAGTAACTACAATTATAAGATTGAAAATGATCTTATTGGCAGCAAATGTAGCTGTTGGATTAATGTGTGACTTTCTTTTAAAATACATCTTTGTTTATACAAAATTATTTTGTGTAAAATGTGTTTTAATCTTAAATGTGTTTCTTTTATCAATGCCAGGTCATTAAAATTCAAGCATCTGGACAAGTCTACGTCAACACAATTCTCTCTCAGCTTCCTCTGTTTACATGTGAGTTCCAATAAATTTCATCCTTCCACCAGAACACACACATCCACAGATCCATAAGTAATGCTCACATCATCCTCCGGGGGCAATTTAGCTAGGCACACTCCATGACTTGACACAGAGAGACAGAAAGCCATGTAAAGTACCCACAGAAAAGTCATATCAACACAATACGCAATACACGCATGCTCCACGGAAACACGTTCCAGCTGAGCAGCAGGCTCTATCTCAAACTGTCAAACTTCTGGAACGTCAAGTGCTTAGCATCTTCTGGTCTTTGCAGCTGAGCTGAGAGTCTTCAGACCGTCATCCTTCTACATCTTCATAAGCACCAAGGTGGGCCTACAAGTGATGGTTCAGCTGGTCCCTGTGATGCAGGTGTTCGTTTCAGCACACACATCCCTCAAAGGAACCACCTCTGGTATGCCTTCACATCAATGTGTCAACGAGCGTTGACCACATGTCCATGTCAAAGTGAATCGATGAGTCATGTAATGCGTGGTTATCAAATGTCCCAGGTTTGTGTGGGAACTTCAACAACATAATGAGTGATGACTTCAGGGTGATTAGCGGCCTAGTGGAGGGCACAGCTGCAGCTTTTGCAAACACGTGGAAGACCCGGATCAGCTGCCCCGATGTCACCGCACACTTCGGACATCCCTGCAGTCAGGACGTCAGCAGGGGTAGGCACAGGCTGTTATGGCCCTTAATGAACGAATTAATTCAATTCTACCATTTCACGTTTGAGAGAGCACTACAGATATTTGCAGTCATTTCATTTGACCAAATTTTTTGTGTCTCTCTGTCTTAGAAAATTACGCTAAGTACTGGTGTTCCAAACTAACTGATCCCAAGGGAGTGTTTGCTCCTTGCCACTCTGTCATCAGCCCCGGCACCTACAAAGATGTGAGCTCGGGAAAACAGGGTTTGATTGGAAGTCAGCGACTGAACTCCTCTTAATCTTCCTCGTCATCTGTGCTTCCCCGCAGACCTGCATGTACGACAGCTGCAATTGCGAGAAAAGCGAGGACTGCATGTGTGCTGCTGTCTCCTCGTATTTCTATGCGTGCTCAGCAGCAGGAATCCACATCAGCGGCTGGAGGTCAACCATGTGCGGTGAGTTCAGCATCCATGGGACTGGACTGACTATCAGGCTGGTGACCACCATTTAATGACATTATTGCACAGTATATAAACAGCTCTTTACTATTAGCAAAACACTGAAACACCTGCAGGACCATCTGACACATAACTCAACCTTTGAGCTGTGTTGGCTGCCTCTCTCTGCTCCCTCTGTCCTTCTCTCGCCCTCTCTCTCTTGCCCACTTTTTCCCTCAACCCCAACCGGCTGAGGCGGATGGCCGCCCACCCTGAGCCATGGTTCTGCTCTAGGTTTCTGCCTGTTAAAAGGAAGTTTTTCCTTGCCTGTGTTGCCTAGTGCTTGCTCATGGTGGGAATTGTTGGGTTTCTGTAATTAACTTCAGAGTAGGGTCTGACCTGCTGTTTGGAAAGCGCTGTGAGACAACTGTTGTTGTGATGTGGCGCTATATAAATAAAATTGAATTGAATTTAATTGATTGTCTTCCAGCTGCAACAACCAACAACTGGCAGTTTGTTAACACCCATTTCTTATTTCTTCCAACAGGAAAATACAGTCAGTCGTGTCCAGCAGAAACAGTTTATGCCTATAACATGACCTCCTGTGCTCGCACGTGCCGTTCCCTCAGCCAAACTGATTATTCTTGCCTGGCCAGCTTCACGACTGTGGATGGCTGCGGCTGTGCTGAGGGAACATACATGAACGAGGAAGGGCAATGCGTGCCGAGTGCAAGCTGCCCCTGCTATGACGGAGACATAATAATTCCAGCCGGCCAGGCCATCATCAAAGATGGCACCACATGGTAAGCGTGCTTATGTAGAATTACAAGAAGTGTTTTATAGGACGGTCGCAACTGACAGTGTTTGACATCCTCATTTAGGTTTGGAATTTTATCCATATTCCCTAAATTATCAGCATCTGATTTGACAACAAAGTTCACAATAGAAGTCAAAATTAGCATTAATGTCATACTGCGAATATCAGATTGTGTTTTTTCTCTTTTTCATCATTATAAGGTGAACAGATCAGGAAATTTCAATAAGGCAAAAAATAATTCCAGGGTACTACATGATGTTAACTTCCCTCACACATGTTCCCACAGTGTTTGCAGACATGGAGCTTTTAGCTGCTCAGGGGGAGCCAAACCGCAAAGTAGGTTTCCACACTTGCACCTGCTTAAGACACAAAGTCTGAAAAGAGTCAAATAATTCATATCCAGCTCCTTGAAATCATGAAGACTGAGATCTGATTTTTCTCAACGAGTGATTGGCATGAATTGGAAATAAATATACAGTTATTTTCAATTGATTTCAGCATTTTTAATGTGCAGATATATTGCTTTGACACGATCATGTTAAAGTCTGGATTTACATTCCCCTAGCTGAAACATCGTGTGTTGCCCCCATGATGTACTTTGACTGCTCCACTGCTCCTCCGGGGGCCACGGGAACTGAGTGTCAGAAGAGCTGCAGCACTGTGGACATGGCTTGTGTAAGTGCAGTAGGGTAACAGCAGTTCAAAGTCAGAAACCCACAGCTACACGTGGACGCACCGTATCTTGCTCACCTCCGCTTTTCACCTTGTATTTGGGTACAGATCAGCACAGGTTGTACATCCGGCTGCATGTGCCCAGATGGCCTGTTATCAGACGGAGCGGGTGGATGCATTAATGAGACAAGCTGCCCATGCGTGCACAATGGTCAGGTCTACCAGCCAGGACAGACGCTGAAAGTGGACTGCAACACCTGGTTTGTACAGTGCTTTGTGAACAAATGAAAATGTGATTTGTGTATGTGTGAATACTGCGGCCGGTCTGGTAGCAGGAGAGATTCATGGATAACATTGACAGGTACATTTATTGTGTGTGTGTCGACACAGCTCATGCCAAGGAAGGAAGTTTACGTGTACCACCAACGCGTGTGATGCTGTTTGTGGAATCTATGGCGATGGCCACTACATCACCTTTGATGAGAAGAGGTTTGACTTCAGTGGACAGTGTGAATACACACTCCTGCAGGTAAATACCACAGTTGGATTTCCAAATGTTAGCAACAACTTTGAGTCCTTGCAATACCAGAAAAATAGCATCTGGTTTTATGCTACCAGAAAATGGATAAGTCCAAACATTGAAATTAAAATGGTGCATTGTGAAGCAGAAATATGCAGACCATAGGTCACCTTGGTAATTGAGTAATCGTGTTGGCTTTGTGTGCTTTACTCAGGACCACTGTAGTACTGACCAGGCCAATGGGAGCTTCACCATCATAACAGAAAATGTTCCATGTGGATCGACAGGAACCACATGCTCCAAAACCATCAAGATATTCTTGGGGGTAAACGCTGTACCAGTGCACTTCATATTCTCCTAATTTCTGTATAGAAAACTACTGTTGATAGAAATGTAAATGTACACATGAAGCAAACAGATCATGGATCAAGTGATATTTGTAATGGCTTTTGTCCATAAATGATCCAGAGCTGAATGTTTGTATTCGGTGACACTAAAAATATAGAAACATTTTCCCCACAGTGATTTAATGTGTCTTTCTTTGAAAAGAATGACAAAGAGTGAGGCAGTAAACGTGGTTTCACAGAATCAGACCTTACTTTTTTTTATACCAGTTTTCTTTTCATTTGGATCCTCACAGGACAATGAATTCCAGCTTAAAGATGAAAGCTTCCATGTGATAAAGGGGAACATCCAGGTGCTCCCTGCTCAGGTGCAAAAAATGGGTATTTACCTGATGGTGACCATCAAGCCCGGGCTTGCACTCATGTGGGACAAGAAGACCAGTCTCTTCATTACACTCAGTCCACAGTTTCAGGTAAGTAAATGCTAAACTAACAGATGAGTCCGATTGTTGTAATAACTTGTTTGTTCCTTAAACGGTCACAAAGTTTTTCTCAAAAAGAACCTTAATTTTATTAGTTATACAAGTTAGATGGAGTTATGTGGAGATATAATCCTGATTTTGCATAGCAGTTTTCACGTTTTTAAAGTTTTCTGGAAATGGTATAAGTGGTAAAAAGACTGTATTCTTTACTCTGGAAGTAGCAAAGACATATGTGGGTTATTTGGTTCCTTCCTTCAGGGTCAAGTCTGCGGCCTTTGTGGTAACTATGATGGCAACAGTAAGAATGATTTCACCACACGCTCCTTGGAAACCGTGGCAGATGTTCTACAGTTTGGTAACAGCTGGAAAGCATCCTCCAGCTGCCCAAACGCCCAGTTAATCAGTGATCCTTGTTCATCCAACCGCTACCGAGCTGCCTGGTCCCAGAAACAGTGCAGCATCATCACCAGTCCCACCTTCAGCAGCTGCCATTCCAAGGTAATTGCATACATTTTCAACAACTAGGTGCCAGACTAACAAATATTTGGACTAACCTGACTGGACTATTTCCTGGTCTTCATGATAAGATTTTCCTGACATTTCGGCCACCACTCGGCTAGTAGTCCCACATAATCTCAGTAACTCCACCAGCATTGGCAGTTGCACACTCTGCATGGTTAACCCCATGACAAGGACAGCTGTAACCATGACTTTCTCGTCCTTTATATTAAAGGTTGATCCTGGCCCATACTTTGACTCTTGTGTGAGGGACTCTTGTGCTTGTGACACCGGTGGGGACTGTGAATGTCTCTGCACCGCCGTGGCTGCTTATGCCAAAGCCTGTACTACAGCCGGGGCCTGTGTGAACTGGAGAACTCCAAAGCTGTGCCGTGAGTTGGACCAACATCGTATCAGAAGAGAGTGGGCTACAGGCCTTGAAAATGTGTATTTCAGATTTAGTTTAGCAAACATAGGTCATCGTAATACACAGCGCGAAGGGAGCTCATGATAACCAGGGATACCTTCTATTGGACAAACCAAAAAGAGAAACATAAAAGTTGTGACAGGCATCATGGCATACATATGGTACATTAAAGATTAAGAGGGCAGAAGGAAAAGAAGTTCTCATTGCATCATGGGAGTTTCTGAATCTGCCAAAACCTATAACAATGCACACGGATCAGGAAGTACCTTTGTTTAGTATAGGAAAAAACTCAATATATAACACTGTCAACTTTGCACAGAGGGTTAACACATTTTTATTTTGTCTCATTCAGCTATTTTCTGTGATTACTATAACTCACCTGACAGCTGTGAGTGGCACTACAAGCCTTGTGGGGCTGACTGCATGAAGACATGTAGGAATCCATCTGGAAATTGTTCCAAGCTCTTCACCAAGGTTGAAGGTATACTTCATTTCCCATGTCATCCTGTCTGAACTTTGAGGGAAAAGTATTTTTTTCTCCAACAGTAAATGTTTAATCATTGCACTACAGGCTGCTATCCACAGTGTCCCCAAGCTCAGCCCTTCTTTGATGAAGATAATATGAGTTGTGTCACTTGGGACCAGTGTGGATGTTATGATGACCAAGGTACCCATTACAGCCTTGGAGAACAGGTTCCATCTAACAACTGTTATACTTGGTAAGTCTCTTACAAGATTCCCCTTCTGATTCACAGTTTACCTCATGTGTAATGATGGATGATAATGGGTGGATGGATTTTTTAATCCTGATCTCAAAAGTGTGCTTCCTGAACTCACACTGGCAGCTTGTTTTACAGGGGGCCTGATGACTGAAGGGTCTGCCTCCTATTATACTCTTAAAAACTTAAGAAACTTTATGTAATGATGCAGCTTTGAGAAATATGAGCAGAGTTTTTGGGAGAGCCCAATAAAAAATCACACCACTTTATTCTTGAAGTAACAAATGCATGGGGCTGTTTGCCTTCATTGCTCTTGAGCAGATAATTCCACACATCATGACTACAGACAACGTGATGCAATATGTTTTGCAACAAGCCTTTTTATGTCTCAGAGTAAAAGCATTATAACTCATGACATTCTGATTTTAATTTTACCAGCCTTCTAATATTGTTGTATTTGATACTTTGGTAAATACCAAATTTACTTTACTCTTGGGTTTTTATGGTTCCTCCAACAGGTACATAGCTAACTATTAGACAGAAACTCCAATCATGACTTCCAAGGGAGTCATCTTTTCTATTATGAACTGATGACAGCACACAGTATAGGATAGTTGATGATGAGTGCTTGATTTAGCAGTCTTGTTGAACTGTCTTTAGATTATTGCTTTATTTTTTCACCATGTTGTAATAAACATTTCTGCAAAATGAGATATATTTGTTTTTACCTGTCTAAAAAACTATTCATATATACTGTATATTTTTATTTGTTTGTAAGAAATGGGACATTAACCATTTTTTAAGATTAGTTTACAATAACCTTTTCAACTAAAAATGTCCTAATTCTCCTCATTTTCAAAGCTCCTGCACATTATCTGGGATAAGATGTAACTTCAATGTGAACTGTAAGTATACAAATAGATCCAGGAGTTCTTAATTGTACACTTACATTTACTGTGTAAATGTTTGAAAATATTCAATACTAAAATTGTCTTAATCTGCAGCTTGTACCTGCACTGTCAACGGAAAAATTTACAACTATGGTACAAGCATATACAACACAACAGATGGACTAGGTAACTGCATAACAGCTGAGTGTGCAGCCAATGGAACCATCACGAGAACAATGTATCCCTGCTTACCAACAACGACCAGTGGACCTACTACAATCCCTTTTACATTTAGTACTGTTGGAAACACAACATCAGGTAATGAATTGTACATAATTATTCAAAAGTTCCATGTCTTAAAAAAACGATTGCAATTAAAATTAAAACTTTTTTTTTTTTTTACCCAAAGGACCACAAATGAATGTGACAGAAAATCCCAGTGACGTTACAACTGAGAAAATAACATCACCTAAAGTAACCACAAGGCCAGTTATCACATCAAAGCCCTCAGTTAGTACCACAACTACATCTGAACCATCCACAACATCGACCACGACCTCCTCTACCACAGCAGTGGTGGTAACAGGCAGCTCATTGCCAGAACTTACAACAAGTAGCCAAAGCTCCATTTTTGTGACTTCAAAACCCTCTGTCAGT